TACTTTGCAAGGGTAGATTGTTAATTTATTGTTGCAGAATGTTATAATAATAATTCTAATTCTGTATTGTGATTCAAATATAACTCAAGCATTTTTGATGATATAGTTTACGAAAGTTTAAATGGTTTATCATCATTCGCATTGCATACTGTGTATGTGTAAGACATTTTTATCCATTGCATGTAGGACAACCACGTTATTCGTTCAGGGTCCGTTCCGCTTGAGTGAACATGATTAGTGCGCAGCCGCACAACGTGTCATATAACTTTAGCTTGTTGTTGCTAAGAGATTATATTATAGGATAATGTGAATGCATTTCTTACATGTTTAACGTGATAATATACTTCCCAGTCAACTTAAATACAAAGGATAATTGATAATTGTCATAAATATTTAAAGGCATGATTTAATATTGTTACAGTGCTAGTGTTACCTAATTTCTATGATTATATAATTTGTTCAATTACAGTTCAAACCGGATGGTAACTGAAAGGCAACTCCATGGTAACCGTATGGTATCGATTTGCAGTTTGTCTTAAATAAAGTTGTTCGAAAGTTATCAACCGTGTTGCAAGTTTTGTAATCTACGCCTCTCGTGTGACTGGAGGTCACACAAAGTTTGAAGTCAATTGAAGTTGGAAACTTGCAGCTGTAATCTATTTATTGGAGGTCTTCCACAATTACGAAACCCAACTGAACAACCAGTATGTCAGAGATTGGAGCATCAGTGAGCAGTAGGCGGAGTAAGGGCAGTAATGCTAGCTCCAGTTTACGGATCAGTCATGCTCAGGCTAGAGCCGAATTAGCTATGGCTAAAGCGAGAGCTGAATTTGCCAAGAAGAAGGCAGCATTGTTAAGAGCCCAAGCCATAGCCGCAGCTGATCTTTCATTATTAAATGCCAATGAAGAGGTAGCAGCCTGTAAGGCAAAAGCAGATCTATTAGAAGAGGAAGTACGTTCGGAGGTGTTGTCAGAGGAAGGTGAAAACTCTGGTGATCTAAACGTAAGTGACATCGGAGATAATGCAGAAGACGACGAAGTGACTTCTATTCATCATCTAATTTTACCGCCTCCATCATTTAGTGATCATCCTGAGATACCGCCAGAGGTACAGAGAGATTCAGGTAGCCCAATTCTTGATAAAGATGGTACACAAAAACCAAGTACCGCTGAAGTGATTTCCGACACTCACCCAAAATTGCTGAAGAAGGATGATAATCCAACATTTACAGATCGTGTAAATATGTGGAACGTTGTACCGTCATCATCTATGGATGAAACCGGAATTAAGGAAATTGTGAAATATCTGCAAAGACCAAAACACGAAGTCAAGAAGTTTGGTGGGAATCCATTAGAATTTCGGAAGTTTGTTCGCCAATTCCAGTCCAGAATGGTCATAAATACTGACACTGACGATGAAAGGCTTTCATATCTTGAAGAATTAACTACTGGTGAGGCTCATAAGGTTGTAAGTGGGTGCAGTCATCTGAATGCTGAGAGAGCTTTTAAGACAGCAATGTCACAGTTGGAGGAAAGATATGGAGATAATGAGGTTATTGCAAGCGCATACATCAAAAAGGCGTTAGACTGGAGTGCAATTAAACCTGGTGATGCGAAGGCGCTAGATGAGTTGGGATTATTCTTAGCAGAGTGCATGAATGCAGCTGAAAGCATAGATGCCACCAAAGTCCTTGAATACCCTGATAATATTAGAAAGTTAATGGAGAAGCTTCCAGTTTACTTACATGATAGGTGGAGGAATGTGGTGTTTAAAATTAAAGAATCATAGATTTCTGTGAAGTTTGAGGAGTTTGTGAAATTCGTTCGCACAGAGGCCAAGAAGATCAATGACCCAATATTTGGCAGAAAAGAGGGAAAATATACTAGCAGTCTTGTTTCTGGACTAGGCGATTCGTCAAAGAAGGAAAGGGTGATTCGACAAAAGGGATCAACCTATACTGCGAATGCAAAGCCAAATAGTTCTACAACTAATTTGAAATGTGTCCTGTGCGCAGGCTCACACTGGCTATCGAGGTGTGATAAATTTAAGTCAATGACAGTAAAGGAACGCAAGATTGTTGTGAGGGAGAAAGGACTTTGTAGAAATTGTCTTAACACTGGGTACTTTGTCGCTTCTTGTCCAAAGAGTGGATTTTGCAAGATTTGCACCGATAAACACTCGAGCTTTCTTCATCCAATCACGAGGTCCAATAGTAACGAAGCAAATGTGAATGTTGCTGCAGTTAATGCTTCTTCAGGTTCTGTTTCTACTCAACCAACATCAATGGCATTGGAAAAGAAACATGGTAGGATAGGTCTTGCAGTGATTGCAGTAAATGTTAGATGTACAGGCAGCAAAAGGTTCCTGACTACATATGCATTCTTGGATAATGGATCCAATACTACATTTTGTACTAACAAACTCGCAATCAGATTGGGAGCAAAGGGCAAGACGGTCAACCTTGACTTGATGGCTATGAATGGTGGATCAAATGAAAATTGTCAGCTAATCTCTTTAGAGATTTCAGGTGTAGATAATGGCAGATCTGTTATTGCACCAAATGTTTACTCCAAGTCTACACTCCCAATTTCCAATAATGTAATTTCAACTCAAGAAGATATTGAGCAGTGGCCTCATCTCAATGGAGTTGAGGTATCAAGTATCGACTCAGACATCGAGCTGTTAATTGGTGGAGATGTTCCAGAAGTTCTGCAACCACTTGAAGTAAGAACATCAGATGATAGTGGGCCATATGCCACTCGAACTATGTTTGGATGGGTAGTGAATGGTCCCCTAAATTCTGGTCAACAAACCAATTTCTGTAATTTCGTTTCTAAGCAAGAGATGAATCTGGATGAGCAGTTTAAACGTTTCTGTAGTATGGAGTTTAATGATCTTGACTCTGATCAGGTTGGATTATCTCAAAGTGACATACAGGCACTAAAGATTATGGAAGAGTCAGTCATCCTCAAAAATGGTCATTATCAAGTTTCTATGCCATGGAAAACTACACCATCAACTTTACCAAACAATTACACTATGGCGGAGCACCGACTCAAATCATTAAAAACCAGACTCGAAAGAAGTGATGATATTCATGCAAAGTATACAGAATTCATGCAAGATCTGGTTGACAACGGTCATACTAGGAAGGTGGCAGAAGCAAGTAAGATAAGCCCAAGATGGTATTTCCCACACCACCCTGTTTTGCACCCTCAGAAGCCCGGAAAGTTAAGGGTTGTCTTCGACTGCTTTGCTAAATTCAATGGAATCTGTCTCAATGATAAATTATACCAGGGGCCGGACCTAACAAATTCGTTAGTGGGTGTGTTATTAAGATTCCGGTGCTCACCAATCGCATTCTGTGCTGACATTAAAAAAATGTTTTATCAGGTGAATGTGACCGAAAGTGATGCAGATTTCCTACGTTATTTATGGAGGGAAAATGGAGATTTAACAAAACCAGCGCAAGAATACCAGATGTTTGTCCACCTATTTGGAGGCAGGTCGTCGCCAAGCTGTGCAAACTTTGCGCTAAATAGAACAGTGGAAGAACATGGTAAACAGTTTGATCCGATCGTGAGTGAAGTAGTTAAATCAAACTTCTATGTAGATGACTTATTAAAATCTGCTGACGACGAGGAAGAGGCTATCAACAAAGCTGTCCAAGTAAAACAATTGTTGGCCTGCGGAGGTTTCAACTTAACAAAATGGATCTCGAACTCGAGCAAGCTAGTTAGCATGCTATCAGATGCAGGAGATTCCAAGTCAGCCTTCTTATGTAGCGGAGATCAGCAACGAGCACTTGGGATTTGTTGGCTTGTTGGTGAAGATAGCTTGGGATACACTATATCCCCAAGAACCAAACCTACTACTCGAAGAGGAATCCTGTCAGTTGTTTCATCGGTGTTTGATCCCTTGGGATTGGCAGCACCATTTATCCTCAAGGCCAAGCTATTGCTTCAAGAACTCTGTCGACTTGGTTATGATTGGGATTCAAGAATCTCTACAGAGAGTGAAGCTAAATGGCAGCAGTGGTTATCTGATTTGGAGAATTTGAAGGACTTCCGAATTCAACGGTGTTACAAGTCCGCAAAGATGGGTAAAATTGTACGCTGTGAGCTTCATAATTTCGGTGATGCATCATCCACAAGTTATGGAGCTGCATCATATCTTTGGCAGAAAGATGAAGATGGAAGGATGGACTGCACACTTGTGGCGGCCAAGTCTCGTCTTACACCAATTAAGGCACAAACTATACCCAGGCTTGAATTACAAGCAGCACTTTTGACGGCTCGTCTAAATACGATGGCAAAACGAGAATTAAATGAACTACAAATTGACCAATCTGTTTGCTGGACAGACAGCACATGCGTGCTCAGGTATCTACACAATGAAAATACTCGCTTCAAAACCTATGTAGGCAACAGAGTATCTGCAATATTAAGTCGAACAAGTATTGATCAGTGGAAGTTTGTTAACTCAGCTCAGAACCCTGCTGATCTAGCATCTCGAGGAATGACGGCAGAAGAGATGATATCAAGTGAGATGTGGCAATGTGGCCCCACATTTCTGAAGGAAGATAAGTCGAAATGGCCTCAGATGCCTGATGATCTTGCCATCAAAATTAATGATCCAGAAGTAAAGGCTAGAACATATGTTATTGAAACCAAAGATAATCATTTCAACACATTGATGATGCGATACTCAAGTTGGATGTTATTGGCCAAGGTGGTAGCATGGATTTTGAGATACAAAACTAATCTGATGAAACGTGTCATCGGTGGTAAACCGCCACCGAGGAAGAGAAACCCTAACAGTATTCAACCCATAACTGTTAATGAATTAAAGAACGCAGAGAAAGTTATTTTGATGTATGTTCAACAGTCCTGCTTTCCAGATGAGCTGACATCGTTAAAGAATGGCAGTGCATTGAAACTAACAAGTGCATTGGTAAAGTTAGACCCAATTTTAGTAGATGGCATAATGAAAGTTGGTGGAAGGTTGAAGTGTTCAAATCTTGAGAACGAAGCCATGCATCAAATCATCTTACCAAAGACACATCATGTAACAGTACTAATTCTTAGACACTATCATTATATCACTGGGCATTCTGGTGTTGAAAGTACAATGGCAGAAGTACGACAACGATTTTGGCCAATTAACGGTAGAGTTTCCTTGAAATCAATTGTTCGTAAGTGTGTTGAATGTCGGAGAGTTAGTGGATCTACGCTTCAACAAAAAATGTCCGACTTGCCGGCTGATCGTGTACAAGCAACACTGCCACCGTTCACTAATGTGGGCATCGATTGCTTTGGCCCATTCTACATTAAACAAGGTAGAGCTAGAATGAAGAGGTATGGCATAATATTTACCTGTTTGAATGTTAGAGCTGTACACTTGGAGGTGTCAAACTCATTAGATACGGAGTCCTTTATAAATGCTCTGAGGCGTTTCATAGCCAGAAGGGGAATCCCAAGCCTAATTTGTTCAGATAATGGAGGAAATTTTGTGAAGGGCAACAAGGAGCTTCGAGAATCAATAAGGGGATGGAACCAAGAACAGATACATGGACACCTGCTGCAACGTCAAATAGAATGGCGTTTTAACCCTCCCACCGCATCACATCATAGGGGAGTCTGGGAGAGGTGTATCAGATCTGTTAGAAAGGTGCTAACAGCACTGACTAAAGAACAGGTGCTGAAAGATGAAGGTCTGAGGACACTTTTCTGCGAGGTGGAAAACATAGTAAATAACAGACCTATTACACGAGTTTTTGATGATCCCAAAGACAGTCAGCCCCTGACTCCCAATCATTTGTTATTGCTACGTTCTGGTTCACAGTTGCCACCTGCAACACTTGATCATGGGGATAGCTATTCAACCAAGCGCTGGCGGCAAATCCAGTATTTGGCAAACGTTTTCTGGCGTCGTTGGATAAAGGAGTATTTGCCATCACTACAAGAACGACGCAAGTGGTATCGCAACCAACCTAATCTGAAAGTTGGAGATATAGTTATTGTTTTCGATGAAAACACTCCACGAAGTATTTGGCCATTAGCACGAGTTATAGAAGTGTACACCAACAATAATGATGGACTTGTCAGGTCAGTGAAAATCAAGACTCAAACTGGAACTCTTGTAAGACCAATAACTAAACTCGTATCTTTGGAAATTGCAGTTGGTGAATAGTGAAATTCGCTAATGAACTTTAGAAATATGTTACTTGTTTTGCTGAGTTACTCAAGACTTGTGTTGTAATTTTTGTAAAGGCTTATTATTGGCGCCTTTAAGGGGCCGGAATATTACGGCTTGAGTTTTTTATGCAATTATGTTTAATTATCATTATTTTATTTTTATTGGGCCTTCCATACATACAAAAGTTACTGTATTGTTTGTGAAGAACGGCAGTCGTCGATGAAGAAATTTGTCTTCAATTTTCGGTTATTTCAGGCGTATCCGCAAATGACGTATGTTGATACATTTATCAGTTGGTTTATTAATTATTTTTTTTAACTAGGCTAAGAAGCACTATACATGATTGTTTATAGATTTATCGTAAAAATTTGTAGCAAATTGGGATTGACCAGTTTGGCTCTTGCATGCCTAGGTTAGCTTGCTTACGCTAGCTTACCACAGAGAAATGTGCTGACAACTTGTTAATGTGATTGCCCTGAAGGCAGTCCAAATCAATACTTTGCAAGGGTAGATTGTTAATTTATTGTTGCAGAATGTTATAATAATAATTCTAATTCTGTTTTGTGATTCAAATATGACTCAAGCATTTTTGATGATATAGTTTACGAAAGTTTAAATGGTTTATCATCATTCGCATTGCATACTGTGTTTGTGTAAGACATTTTTATCCATTGCATGTAGGACAACCACGTTGTTCGTTCAGGGTCCGTTCCGCTTGAGTGAACATGATTAGTGCACAGCCGCACACCGTGTCATATAACTTTAGCTTGTTGTTGCTAAGAGATTATATTATAGGATAATGTGAATGCATTTCTTACATGTTTAACGTAATAATATACTTCCCAGTCAACTTAAATACAAAGGATAATTGATAATTGTCATAAATATTTAAAGGCATGATTTAATATTGTTACAGTGCTAGTGTTAGCTAATTTCTATGATTATATAATTTGTTCAATTACAGTTCAAACCGGATGGTAACTGAAAGGCAACTCCATGGTAACCGTATGGTATCGATTTGCAGTTTGTCTTAAATAAAGTTGTTCGAAAGTTATCAACCGTGTTGCAAGTTTTGTAATCTACGCCTCTCGTGTGACAGGAGGTCACATTATTTAGGGTAATTGTTATTATTGTGATGGAATAAACAATCAAGGGCGTCGATCCGTGGTTGAAAGTGGG